TTGTAGTGAAACCCCTGCTTACTGGTAAAGTTATTAATTCCTGTTCTCATTTTGCATAATGATGGATGGATATGTGATTAATGGCTTATTGTCAATTCTGATCATTTCTTGCTTTATGGCTTAAATGATCTGTTCGGAGGCTTGCTAGTGACAAAGTTGAAAATTCAACACTTTCATTTCCAAGGGGTAAAGTTAACAAATAAGCCATATGTTTTCAGTCAAAATTATTTTTTCAGTTATTTCATATTTCCAATCTTAATGTAGCAAATTCCTCAGGCAACAATGGTTGGTGGAGTCTCAACCAGTCATAATGTGTCACTGGTGTATGCATTTTAAAATTCTAATCGGCTAAAAAAGGAGCCAAACTAAGGCCTTTCTGAAAACTTGGCTGCCTCTACACGTTAACCCACCAAATGATATCATTTTCAACAAAGCAATGCTCTTACACTCGATTTTTATTTTATTGATGTACCTTGACAAATATGAAGTAAAATAAGATGTTGACTTACATAGTGTCACAATATTGACACAAGTCCTTTAAGTCAGTGTAATATAATACACATATGTCCTTTAAATCTTTTTGATTGTTAGTTAATTACTTGTGTACTCAGTGTTGACCTTAGCCAATTATTGCCAGTTTACTTCCTCATGCACACTTATATTACAAACATGTGCTGGTGTAGATGTGGTTACAGGTGAATTAATGTCTAAGGTAAACATTCATTTAGATTTTATAATTTCAAACCTTTTAACTTTTCATATTAAAATGGTGTTTAGTTCACCTGCTTTGTTATAATCAGATCTTCTAAACCTGTGTCTTAACTTTCTATTCAGTTTTGTGATGTCTATATTTCAATTGTTCTAAAGTTAGTTTTCTTTCAAATCCAGCGTTCTTGTGCAGTGATAGTGATGGTAGTGAAGCATAGTTAATCAAAGTGATGATGTGAAGCCTTATACATCGAGAACGTGAATTGACTGTGTTTGTGAAGTGTGACTTTGAGAAATTAATGATGCTAAAAACATATAAAGTGAGCAGAGCAGTTTAAAGTCTTGACATTTGTGAACTTTATTAGGACGTATGGTGTTAATGCTGAAGTGATAGATTTGTATAGAATACTCGGCATATAGTGAACATTAGTGGTATCTTCAAAACAATATTATCAAAGTCTGAGAGACTTCTTCATAGACCCGACGTCGATATTGGTGACTTGGTATCTTCTACTGCAGTAAACCCTACTCGTCTTCTACGATATATTACATGACAGCTAGCATACTAATATTCACGACTGTTTCTCATACAGAGTGTCCATAAAGGACTTATCTACAATAAGAACTCTTTCATTTATAGTGAATATCATATGATTTTGTTTACATTGTGTTTGTGTTTGTATTTATAATTTACTTAGTTAAGGTAGTTTGATAAGTAAGTTTCGTGCAAATAATTAATATTTAGTTATTTTTGTGAATAAAACTCAGTAAATTTATATGCCAGTGTTGTTCCATCATGGTATAATTTAAATATAGAACCCGACCCTGTGACACTGGGGGCTCGTCTGTACTAACCACAACTTAAGAACGCTTAGATATTGTTAGGTATTCATGTAAATATTCTTAAATCAATTAAGTTATATATATAAGATAGTTATAAACATGTATAAGGGTGTGTGTTATTTAAGTAAATGTAATTCTCATATATATACCACATATACACCTTGCGGACAAATTGTCCCTTATTGCATTCTTAAAGATCAAACTGAGTACACTTTTTCACTGCGGGTAATATCCATACCTTACCTCATACCATATCTTTTACACGAAAACAAAATGGCAGATAAAGGATTTATTGCTCAAGATCGAGAATTAGCTGAAAGGTCTGATATGGAAAAATGTCTACAAATAGGAAAAGACCTAGGATATACCGAAGAAAAGCTAGAAAAATTTGTGTTTAAAGAATTAGAAAGACTCACCAAAGAACAAGACCGGAAAGAGAGAATAAGCGAAAGAGAACACATAAAGACCATAGAAATAGGTGAACAAAGGCAAAGAGAATTGCAGTTACAGATTAATCTAGAACAGATAAAACATGACAATGCAGAAGAAGGCAGAACAGCTGAAAATACAGAACTGCATGAATCTTTCCAAGGTCATACACCTAAAATTCCTAAACTGCCTTTCTTTGATGAACAAACAGATAACATAGATTCATATCTACTACGATTTGAACGTTATGCCTCTACCCAAAGATGGAGACAAGAAAACTATGCAATGTACTTAAGCGTACTCCTAAAAGGTAAAGCCCTTGAAGTATACACTCGACTGCCTGATACAGAATGCAATTCATACGAAGCACTGAAGTTGGGACTCTTAAAAAAATACAAAATGACAGAATATGGCTACAAAAAGAAATTCTACTCATCAAGTCCTGAAGATGGAGAAAGTCCTACCGAGAACATGTCCAGAATTGAGAATTATTTCATGAGGTGGATAGAACTAGCTGCAGTAAAAAAGAATTTGATGATATTCTAGACTTAATAGTCAGAGAACAATTCTTAAATTCCTGTGGAAAAGCCAACGCCACATTCATACGAGAGCACAAAATAAAATTAAGAAAAGATGTAATCGAAGAAGCAGATAGGTTTTGTAAAGCTCGTGGAATGAACACGTTGACAGAAGATAACAGTAAATACAAGAGAATATTTGACAAGTCCAAGACATATAAAAAAGACAAACCAGAAGAAAATAAAGGCGACAACAACAATGAAAAAAGAGACGAAGGCATAAACAAAAGAACAGAAACTAACAGTAGAACCTGTTACCTATGTTTTAAAGAAGGTCATATCGCAAGAGATTGCCCTAAGTCCATAGCCAACAAAACAATAGCTAAGCTTGCAGCACTTCTAGTACAATCAGATACAGACAGCGACGAAGACTTGAAAACAAATAGTGAAGATATATCGACAGCATCTTGTCAAATCCTTGATGAAAGTCACAAGTGTGAACTTCAGCCAGGCAGTACCCTCACATTATCTTGTGGGTGCAACATTGAAGTTGCAGGATCTGTATGCAACTGTGATAACAATGCTGAAAACCTTTCAAATTTACCTGTTGAAATTGGATTCATAGGGAATAAAAGAGCCAAGGTGTTAAGAGACACTGGATATAGTGGTGTGATTGTCAAATCAAGCCTGGTAACAGAAAAACAACTGACAGGAAAACAAAGGAAATATATAATGATCGATCGTACAATAAAGACAGCTGAAATTGCAGAAATCTATATAGACACACCATTTTTTACGGGTCGTACAGAAGCAATCTGTATAGACAATCCTATATGTGAACTGATCATAGGAGAAATACCAGGTGCGACGATGGGAAGCAACCTAAAATCAAATATTAAAGCACTTGAGTAGAAATGTGTGAATTTCTTAGCATTTCTACCATTTAAAAGTATTGTAATTTTACACATTATTTACCTTAAGAAATTAAAACATTTCTCAATTTGGGGGGTAATGTCACAATATTGACACAAGTCCTTTAAGTCAGTGTAATATAATACACATATGTCCTTTAAATCTTTTTAATTGTTAGTTAATTACTTGTGTACTCAGTGTTGACCTTAGCCAATTATTGCCAGTTTACTTCCTCATGCACACTTATATTACAAACATGTGCTGGTGTAGATGTGGTTACAGGTGAATTAATGTCTAAGGTAAACATTCATTCAGATTTTATAATTTCAAACCTTTTAACTTTTCATATTAAAATGGTGTTTAGTTCACCTGCTTTGTTATAATCAGATCTTCTAAACCCGTGTCTTAACTTTCTATTCAGTTTTGTGATGTCTATATTTCAATTGTTCTAAAGTTAGTTTTCTTTCAAATCCAGCGTTCTTGTGCAGTGATAGTGATGGTAGTGAAGCATAGTTAATCAAAGTGATGATGTGAAGCCTTATACATCGAGAACGTGAGTTGACTGTGTTTGTGAAGTGTGACTTTGAGAAATTAATGATGCTAAAAACATATAAAGTGAGCAGAGCAGTTTAAAGTCTTGACATTTGTGAACTTTATTAGGACGTATGGTGTTAATGCTGAAGTGATAGATTTGTATAGAATACTCGGCATATAGTGAACATTAGTGGTATCTTCAAAACAATATTATCAAAGTCTGAGAGACTTCTTCATAGACCCGACGTCGATATTGGTGACTTGGTATCTTCTACTGCAGTAAACCCTACTCGTCTTCTACGATATATTACATGACAGCTAGCATACTAATATTCACGACTGTTTCTCATACAGAGTGTCCATAAAGGACTTATCTACAATAAGAACTCTTTCATTTATAGTGAATATCATATGATTTTGTTTACATTGTGTTTGTGTTTGTATTTATAATTTACTTAGTTAAGGTAGTTTGATAAGTAAGTTTCGTGCAAATAATTAATATTTAGTTATTTTTGTGAATAAAACTCAGTAAATTTATATGCCAGTGTTGTTCCATCATGGTATAATTTAAATATAGAACCCGACCCTGTGACGCATAGAACATAACTATTTTCTTATGCCACAAAATATATTTTGTTTTGTTATTTGTGTATGGTTGAAGTACTCAAAAATGACACCTTTGACATGAAAGGGTTAATTCCTCAACGTTCTTACTATGAAACCTTAAAATAACGGATATATCCTCAAACTCATCACTCTCATCTTTCCAGTGGTACGGTACTTTCAAAAAATGGGCAATTTTGGGCATAATTTGGCCAAATTATCAAAAAGTGGGCCTTGAATTTTCAAAATTTTGGCCCAATTTTTGGTTTAAGGGGCCCAAAATTGTATTCTGCGGAAGCGCAAACAATTTTTCCAGACTCAAAATCCCCCCCCCTTGTAAGCTTCTGGATCCGCCAGTATACGTTATGCTAGTATTTTAACCTTAAGACTAGTACCATTCTTTTGACCCACGTTGCTCTACTGATAATAAAGCTGATTTGTTGTTAAGTACAGCACATATACCATGGATCTCAAAGTACATGTTTATCATAATATATTTGCCTTCATGCAGTAGTACATGTACTTTATATCCTACCGAGTTAAATGCAGTTCAACATAACAGAACGTTCAGAAAATGTCTGTGAAGATACGAGAGGCTCGTCTGGAAGATTTTGACGGTGTCATGGATATAAACAAGGATGTCTATGAAGGGCTCGATTACTTACCTTATAAGTATCACATGTATATCAAAGAAGTGCAATCGAAAGGGAACCGAATATGCCTCATTGCAGAGACAGACGAAGGGAAAATCGTGAGTATTATCACACTCATATAATGAAAGGCGCGATTACTTATCGTACAAGTATTACATGTATATCAAAGAAAGGCAATCGAAAGGGAACCGAATATGCCTCCTTGCAGAGACAGACGAAGGGAAAATCGTGAGTATTATCACACTCATATAATGAAAGGCTAGATTACTTATCGTACAAGTATTACATGTATATTAAAGAAGGGCAATCGAAAGGGAACCGAATATGCCTTGTTGCAGAGACAAACGAAGGGAAAATCGTGAGTGCAATCACACTCATATAATGAAAGGCTCGATAACGTATCGTACAAGTATCACATGTATATCAAAGAAGGGCAATCGAAAGGGAACCGAATATGCCTTGTTGCAGAGACCAACGAAGGGAAAATCGTGAGTATTATTACACTTATGTAGGAAAATACTCGATTACTTATCGTACAAGTATTACATGTGTATCAAAGGAGGACAGAGTATGCCTCCTTGGAGAGACAGACGAAGGGAAAATCGTGAGTATTATTACACTTATGTAGGAAAAGACTCGATTACTTATCGTACAAGTAGTACATGTGTATCAAAGGAGGACAGAGTGCCTCCTTGCAGAGACCGACGATGGGAAAATCGTGAGTATTATCACACTCATATAATGAAAGGCGCGATTACTTATCGTACAAGTATTACATGTATATCAAAGAAAGGCAATCGAAAGGGAACCGAATATGCCTCCTTGCAGAGACAGACGAAGGGAAAATCGTGAGTATTATTACACTTATGTAGGAAAAGACTCGATTACTTATCGTACAAGTATTACATGTATATCAAGGGAGGACAGAATATGCCTCCTTGCAGAGACAGACGAAGGGAAAATCGTGAGTATTATCACACTCATATAATGAAAGGCGCGATTACTTATCGTACAAGTATTACATGTATATCAAAGAAAGGCAATCAAAAGGGAACCGAATATGCCTCCTTGCAGAGACAGACGAAGGGAAAATCGTGAGTATTATTACACTTATGTAGGAAAAGACTCGATTACTTATCGTACAAGTATTACATGTGTATCAAAGGAGGACAGAGTATGCCTCCTTGGAGAGACAGACGAAGGGAAAATCGTGAGTATTATTACACTTATGAAGGAAAAGACTCGATTACTTATCGTACAAGTAGTACATGTGTATCAAAGGAGGACAGAGTGCCTCCTTGCGGAGACCGACGATGGGAAAATCGTGAGTATTACACTAACTGTGCCGTTCCTCACATAACACAACAAGGCATTAACCTTACAAAATGTCACCACCTTGTTGCTCACAATATTATTAGTTCAATCATAAATCAGATTGGAATTTCTGAGAACTTCAAGATGATTTTGAAAAAATGGTCAATTTGAATCAAGTTGAAAAATAACTTTTTTGACCCTGGGAAAGTCAAAGTCAGATTTGAAATTCTGAGAACTTATAGATGATTTTGAAAAAAATAGTCAAGTTGAAGCAAGTTGAAAAAATACCTTTTTGACCGTTTTTAAATCTTTTTTGACCTTGAAAAGGTCACCGAGGGTCAAAACTTGTAGATGATTTTGAAAAAAACTGAAATCAGTCTAAGCAGTATTTGTTTAGTTATTGGCAGTTTTAAGAATTGTTACAGACGCCAACAGCCGTCACAAAATGGAGACCATTACAATATGTCACCACGTTTTTATGGTGATTTAATGACTTGATAGGTCACAATTGCGCCGATGATTACTGAATCGGCTGATTTCCTGATATGATATCTGGTGCACCAGTCATTTCTCTCGATGTCTTGTCGAAGGTGAGTATGGTCACATCAGGTACAGGCAGGTACGGCGCCCGAAATCAATTTTGCTGACAATCAAACAGACACCCGAAAGACATCGTAAGGAGCCCGTAAGACTATCGTGATTTTGTACAAATTATTAAGTATTTAATGAATCTTACTTGTGTTGTACTTCGAGAATATAGTATAGAACTCTTTTTAACAATAAATGGCATTTTTGTGGACGAGGGGCATACGTAGATAATGCTGAATTGTTACTAAAAATTATAGGTTGCGTTTAGAATGGCCTTTCTTGTGGACGAGGGACATACTTTGATCGCCCAAGCAGTTCGCGTGCACCCAAAATATACATCAAAGGGAATAAATAAACTCCTCCAAGATGCAGTAGTTGAAAGATGTAAAACTAAAGTTACGAAGTTTATTTCAACAACGTGGCAAACCGAGATTTGGGAAAAGCGAGAACGTAATGGAACTAGTCCGATGACGATCGCCGCTCGTTCGGTATGTTAACCTACACGTACACGTAACAAGGCAAATTGGTCCTCATTTTTTAGTACAATCACCTCATCTTTATTCCGTAAAATTAATTGATGGAATTAATATCAATAAAGCTAGTAGTCCGGATGTGAAGTGCCATATTTTAAGTGAAGGTGGAAATGCTTATTATATGAACTTTTTTTGCATTTTCTGTTTAAACATGATATCCATATTCAGAAACTGTCGGATGCCCAACGGGCATCCTTGAGGATTTTTTTTGGCTGCCATTTTGAATTTTCACACGTTTTATGTATTTTAGCCAGCATATTAGAACAGAAAACTAGAATACACATAAACAAATCTTGCTGTTTTTTCTATAATAGAGTTTTAATATGATGTATACCAATATGTTAGGTTCCAGAAATGTTTCTCGACAAAAAAAAAATTCAAGATGGCCGCCAACCTTACAATTTATGAAATGTCTCATTCTGTGATAATATCAAATTGACATTTGTGTTTCCTACAAAATTATCAATAAATAATACTAAATACATCTGATTATGATCTCTTTCTCACATATAAAATATCTGAAATGAGTAAAAAGTAACCTACATAATAATAATGATGTTCCACAAGGGTCATTTCTTGGTGCTATATATATCTTGAATTTATGAATTATCTTCTTTTACTAAGATTTCATCAAGGATTTCCCTCAATAAATCCTCATCAGTTTCTTACAATTCCTGTTCAGTTACTGTCTTTGTATGTTGGTTACTGCATTCATTCCCCTTGCAAACACAGAACAATGTACATGATAAAGATGCCTTGGAGCATGAACATCGCCCAGTTCTACATACATTGCCCTCTGATGCATATGTGCACTTAATGAGCTGGAGAATTCCTTCAGGGGCACAGGGTGTATCCTTGGGAATTGTTGTTGGGACAAGTGAGCCTGTGCTGTTAATTTCCCAACCATTATCTGTTGGAAGGATAAGTGGGGGGTCAGGCATATCAGCATTTTTCCATATAGCTACTTGGAAATGAGCTCGCTTCACATGCTGGGAAAATGCTTCTGTTGTTGGTGGGAGGGATTTTAGCTTTGGTGCATTTGTAATGTGTTTTGCAGCATTTTTCTTTGCTCATACAGCATATCTCACATCAGACATTTTGTCTGTGACTTTAGGTGTAATTCCATAACATCTAGAAACAAATTCTATTGAAGTTTTCTCAACTTCAGTCATGTCTGCATTGACATCTCCCAAGTTTGCGAGTGAGTATCTATTTAACACCTTCATGACTGCTAGCTTGCCAATTCCATGCATGCAAGATGTTGTATCACTGCCAGAGAGACCATGCGCAGCTAACAAGTTTGGGATTTTTAATTTGTGTTCATTTACGGTTGCATTAATGTTAATGTTTGCTCGGCCAGATGATGTTCCCTCCATTATGATGTTATTTTCCATTAACTTGTGCTTGAGACAGTGATGAAGCAGTAGAAGGAAAACATCAGTATCATCACTGAGTACACTGATATGCTGTTGGCCTTTACTGGCAGCATGCAGAACCGGGTGTACGATAACAATATCTGCTTCTTCTTGAGTGTTCCTTAAGTCATCACATTGGTCAATATTGCCTTTGTGAATTTGTACAGGTGTTGGATCAGGACCTGTGATAACAAGGATGTTGGAGAATGATCCTTCACTAGCTTTTTGAGTGAGATGGTCGATGACACACTTTATCAACTGGACCATGTTCTCAGTCATTCAGAACAACATTCTGTGCAGGGAGAGGTGTGTCAGAGCTGAACTTATACACTCTACTGGCTGATTGAGCTCGAGATGAGCTGGTGCTGTTCTTTATGCTATTGTCTTTATATCTGTCAAAGATAAGGTATACATCTGATTCGGTTAGGAGTCTCTTAGTAGGATGTACTTAGTGAAAGCAATACAGAAATTTTCAATTTTGCCAGCCATCGGCCATGTTATGATCCAAAGGTCAGGATGGCACACCCATCAACGACACATACATTGCAATTGTTTCCTCTTGAGGTCACCTCAATCTGTAACTTTTGTTTCAGTGTTGATTTTGAAGTTGTGATATTAATTTCTCCATTTTCATCAAATAGTGATAATGGAGGGAACATCATCTGGCCGAGCAAACATTAACATTAATGCAACCGTAAATGAACACAAATTAAAAATCCCAAACTTGTTAGCTGCGCATGGTCTCTCTGGCAGTGATACGACATCTTGCATGCATGGAATTGGCAAGCTAACAGTTCTGAAGGTGTTAAATAGATACTCACTCGCTAACTTGGGAGATGTCAATGCAGACATGACTGAAGTTGAGAAAACTTCAACAGAATTTGTTTCTAGATGTTATGGAATTACACCTAAAGTCATAGACAAAATGTCTGATGTGAGATATGCTGTATGGGCAAAGAAAATGCTGCAAAACACATTACAAATGCACCAAAGCTAAAGTTCCTCCAACCAACAACAGAAGTATTTTCCCAGCATGTGAAGCGAGCTCATTTCTAAGTAGCTATATGGAAAAATGCTGATATGCCTGACCCCCCACTTATCCTTCCAACAGATTATGGTTGGGAAATTAACAGCACGGGCTTACTTGTCCCAACAACAATGCCCAAGGATACACCCTGTACCTCTGAAGGAATTCTCCAGCTCATTAAGTGCACATGTGCATCAGAGGGCAATATATGTAGAACTGGGCGATGTTCATGCTCCAAGACATCTTTATCATGTACATTGTTCTGTGTTTGCAAGGGGAATGAATACAGTAACCAACATACAAAGACAGTAACTGAACAGGAATTGTAAGAAACTAATGAGGATTTATTGAGGGAAATCCTTGATGAAATCTTAGTAAAAGAAGATAATTCATAAATTCAAGATATATATAGCACCAAGAAATGACCCTTGTGGAACATCATTATTATTATGTAGGTTACTTTTTACTCATTTCAGATATTTTATATGTGAGAAAGAGATCATAATCAGATGTATTTAGTATTATTTATTAATAATTTTGTAGGAAACACTAATATCAATTTGATATTATCACAGAATGAGACATTTCATAAATTGTAAGGTTGGCGGCCATCTTGAATTTTTTTTATTTTTGTCAAGAAACATTTCTGGAACCTAACATATTGGTATACATCATATTAAAACTCTATTATAGAAAAAACAGCAAGATATGTTTATGTGTATGCTAGTTTTCTGTTCTAATATGCTGGCTAAAATACATAAAACGTGTGAAAATTCAAAATGGCCGCCAAAAAAATTCCTCAAGGATGCCCGTTGGGCATCCGACAGTTTCTGAATATGGATATCATGTTTAAACAGAAAATGCAAAAAATCATATAATAAGCATTTCCACCTCTATTGGCTCTACATCCAGACTATAGCTTAAAGGAAAGTTTTCACACCATTTTTCTTCAAATTAAATAATTAAATCAAATATAAAGTAATTCCCCGTGCTTCTATTTCAGCCTAGAGTCTCTTTTGAGACTAATCCAGTTTCCCTGTCAATTGCATTGGAGAAAGCCTACAGACACAGTGAGGATTTGAACAAACTTTTCGAGAAAACTTTGGTTCTTTCAAGAGATGACGCGAGAGAACTGCTATCCTCTGCTGAGCTTCGTGACTTCATAAGAACATCTGATTTTGTCTACAGCTGGGATGTGTTTAATTTGAAATTCGTTTCAAACGTCGAATGGATCATGCAGTGTAGAAATGTGATTCTACGTACTCTGAACAAAGATGGCGCTCTGAACGGAGTTAGCCTAGCGAATGCCTTGCCGTGTAAACTGGGCATTCGGTTATTTGCAGATGTTTATTGTGCCGAAGCAGATGTTACTATTGCACACATCATCAAACATATACAGATGCTACAGCAGTTCTGTAAATCAACTCCAATTGTTGGTACATTCTTCTTGCACCAGTGCTCCGCGAAGCACAAGACGGAAGCGAAAAAATTCGTTGCTGAATATATGGGTTTATATCCCAAGCAGAATTTAAATGAGAACGACTTTATAATCCTTGAGAGAATTAAGAATCTATCCAAATTATAAAACTGAAATAAAAAATGACCATCAGTTGCACATTAGTGTAAAAATGCATGTGAACGTTTTTTAGTCGAGCATATATGAATTTTTTTTATTCACCCATCAACCTTGCCCGGATAAGGGGGGGGGGGGGGGGTAAACTTTGGCCTGGAAATTTAATTGGATTTCATGTAATCGCATGTTGATATCTGATAAATGATGCAGTATACGTTTTATCAATCCCCGAACTATTATTTGTGAATGGAGTCATATCTGATTATGATGCAATACTGGATTTATTTTTGATACTATAAATTGAACGTGAAATGATCTGAAACAATTGTAACGACCTGACCAATTTAGTCATTGTTAGCGAGCGGGCATAGATCAGAAAGTTACTAAAGAAAATATTTAAGAGTTCATGTGTAACATTCAAGTTACTATTATTTTAGAGATTCAATGAAGCCATTTTTAAAGTACCTAATTTTCCAAACTAGTGTCAAACAAACTTCTCAAAGTTTATGTATTTTATTCTATTATATACCCCCTTATCTAAACAGTGTAGTATTGTAGTACTTTGTTTTATCATCTTATATTGTAGATTTTATCTATACCCATGTACACTGTATTTGTGGTTATGCAATAAATAAATTAAATTATTGTGTTATGCAATTAGTATTCTGCTAGTTTTGGCACTTATGAAATGGACTTAATTTAATCTGATAAAGAGGGCAGCACTATAATATGTCAGGTATCAATGTATGGACTATCTTAATATAAAGATGGCAGCACTTAAACTAATTCTTACATGGCAGCAGACTGCACAGCCAAGTGAATGCAGGGGGTATTGTATTCTTCGATTTCGATTGTATGATTGAAGCACTTTTCATCACTGAGTATGTTTTATAACGTGTTCCGTTGGTTATGTATTTCCGTACCATCATCGATTTGTTTATTCCTAAAAATCAAATTTTATTTTCTTTACGTGATAGATCATTAATAAAACTATTCAGGAGAAACATATACAAAAAGAGGAAGACAACTGATGGGGGTCACTCCAACCCACGCATCCACCTCCTCCGCATTACGACGACGCGTTTTGATAAGTAACAATGGACTTACACATGTGAAAGTAATTCAAATCAATATTTATCATATTGGCTAAATCAGAAGTAATAAAGTCAGGCAATACATTGGCAAAATGTAATCAGAAATTGTTTTTTGTTTTAATCGATGATTATTATAGGTTTCAGTATCATGGGCACCAAGTGAATATTTAACCACTGTAATCTTTGAATAGAGATATTTTTGCCTCTAGTCTCATTTTTAAACGGCCCCTATTTGCGTACTTAACATTGGTGACAACATATTTCATTTTCAAAAAGGGGGAAACAAAAGCAAACTCACTGACATCGTTGAGCGATTTTGGGAATGGGAGACAATAGTGGATACAGGGGGTATTGTATTCTTCGATTTCGATTGCATGATTGAAGCACTTTTCATTACTGAGTGTGTTTTATTACGTGTTCTGTTGGTTATGTATTTCCATACCATCATCGATTTGTTTATTCCTAAAAATCAAATTTTATTGTTTTTACGTGATAGATCATAAAAAACACAAATTAAGAAGAAACTTAAACATTAATTAATCTATAAAAATGCAAGCATTTGTACACGAGGAACACCAAATAAACAGAGGGAAAATAAGCAAGTCTGATCAAATACAAATCCTGTTTAAGTGACTTCAAACAAGTCGCCAATTAATTAGAGAAAACAATAAGTTAAAAAATATAAATCAACCTGATTACAAAAATCCATGCTATTTGATTCGTGCATTATCTACAGCCTAGTAGCGAAAGAGTAAAATAATTGTTTCATGTTAACGTGAAAACAGAAACCCCAACACAACCCCAAACCGAAAGCATATTATTATTAGAACCCCTCTTACATAACTATTCGGGAGAAGTAAATACAAAAAACGAGGAAGACAACTGATGGGGGGTCACTCCAACCCACGCATCCACCTCCTCCGCATTTGCCATTACGACGACGCGTTTTGATAAGTAACAATGGACTTACACATGTGAAAGTAATTCAAATCAATATTGTATCATATTGGTTAAATCAGAAGTAATAAAGTCAGGCAATACATTGGCAAAATGTAATCAGAAAGGCGGATTAGTTGTTATTTGTTTTAATTGTCAAAATAGTTCAGAGAAATGGACGGATTATGACAACATTTATTACATGAGTCTTAATATTGTCTTAAACAAATATAATAAGCTTCGTTTAACGAAGGTGTGGACTCATCAAAACAAAGGTCTTTAAGAAATATCCAAACCGTATAATACAGTACCATCTGTTTCGCATGGGTTTATTCTAGCATGATTTGTAATACACTAAAAATGAATGGTATAATCGAACATGATACGGGTCACTATCATCATTTGGGAGAGGGTGATTAATAGTCATATTTAGTAATGTGCATACCTATATGTATACCTATATGTGTAGCCAGGAGGAAGGTTTTCTAAACATACAGCAAGTATTTTCCCAAAGGAAAAAATTCCCCAAAATTTCGAGGGGGATTCACAATTCAAAATTTTGCCCCAAAGTCACTTGAAAATGTTCAGAATGGTGAAAATTTCACGTCTCGCTCATTTTGCAACCCTATATTCAGTTTCTAATAAGAAATATCCATCCACATATATCAGATATTAAATCAATAGTTGTTTATGAAAAGATAATGTGTATAGATCATAAGCTTTTTGTAATTTCAGCTTTTAGTTAGCCCTCTTCCCGATCGCCGACAGAGATGTATTGTTTAAAATAATACTGCATCCCCGGCCAATAATACAATCACCATTTTGAGCAGTTTTCGTGAGATTCTGAGCAATTATCAAATGTGACCCCACCCCTGGAATAATTCAAAAGTCATTCCTTTAGCAAATGATGGCTTCGGACATGGTACTTGTCGAGACGAAATAATGGGAATTATTGGAAATATCCATTTAAACAGGCCCTCTTAATTTATAACAAGTTTACGCACTTTTGCACTTTTCGTGACTCAGGTTTGATATAAAGTGAAAGCACATTCTTTTTGATTGATATCCCATATATAGCTAACGCAAAAGACGAAATATAAACACTTGCGGTAATTATGATTTAACTGTGCCCATATATAGCGCAAAATCCCACATGGCAATTTAACATTCCGACAAATTTCGCCTTGGTATGTCTAGCCACGGCGTGCTTATAGATTTCTAGACTCTTGTCACGCTCTGTCCACGTCAGCTCTAAGCACATCTAAGCACGCCTAGAAATCTCTAGATACGCGGAGTTTCTAGACCGGCTAAGCACGAATAGAAATTACCAGATATTCCACATTTGATGCAGTGCCTGGGACTTGGGAAACGGACATTTTTCAAAAATACTGTTTTGCAGGAATAAATAAAGTACTAATATGCATCGATTGATTGTATCTATCCCTTCGTGTTGATGTAATTTAAAATGATTAAATGTACTTTACAGACAGTAGAAAATTAAATTTATATCGTTTCTTTATCTGGCTTTTTTCTTAATCCCAAATACATTGTACACTGTGGCTAGTCGATCAATGTGGATGCAGTCATGTATATGCAATGTTTCGTGGGTTCTCGCGTACATTATAGTGAATGGGGTCGTTGAAAAAATATGACAGAAAATCAAGGTAAGTGATCTCAGAGTTTCTACCTAACATATTGACTTGAAATCTTGCATACATATTCAATATACATAGTATGACAATGTGTGAAAGTTTCAGCTAGCATATTCCTGTTATAGGGAAGATATTTGAACAATATTTCGTAAACGTCAACATATATGTATCAAATGGATTCAACTATGTATCATTTGGATTCAGAACGGTAACAAATGGATGCTATAATAAATTATGCTTTTATCATGATGATTTATTTACAGATGGACAACTGGCCAGATTTTCTTTGTATCCATTGTTCGGATAAACATTCCTTATTCAGTGAAGTAATTAGCCACACCATTACAATACACCCTCATGAAGAATTGAAAATTGATAGACTTTATATGGACCCGTCAACTGGAAAATGCCATTACATACTGTTAATTTGAAAAACGGGTCCATAACATGTAATGATGACAATGAAGATGTTGAAATTAGGTACGCCAATCAAGTGAATTCAGAGCCCAAGAACCATAAACCCACTGAAATACCCACAGGTCAAGTTTCAGAGCCATTAACATTCCTTGAAAGTGACAATGAGCAGCCAACAGATGGACCATCTGTAAATCTTGGTGATTTTGTCAGCTCAGCTGAAAGAGCCTACAGATTCCTTGAAACAAATGACCCAAATTCAAGAATTATATCATCTATTTACATTTTTTTTGAAATCGTGGTAAGTGGAATCTTTCCAATTACCAATATAGGATTATTATTGTTTTTTTGACACTGTGGACTATTTCACCGCTCCATGTGCCAAACAAGTAAGATGCAGAAAGGAAACTAAATACTTTTGGTTCATGGGCTTTCGTCTGTTTCATGGGAAGTTTCTGACTTCATTCATTCTGACTTCATTCATTTTTACTTTTAATTCTTATGATAATAAAATATATCTAGACTTTAAGCCCAGTCATCCAGAATAAGCCGAGTCATCCAGAATAAGCCGAGTCATCCAGAATAAGCCGAGTCATCCAGAATAAACTGAGTCATCCAGAAAAAGATGGATGGATGGATGGATGAAATAGGAAGGAGGGATAGGATAGAATAGGAAGGAACGATAGGATAGAATAGGGAAGGATGAGATAGAATAGAAAAGAATAGAAAGGAATGATAGAATAGGAAGGAAAGGAAAGGATAGGAAGGATAGATAAGAAGGATAGGATAGGATAATATGGGATAGGATAGGAAGGATAGGATAGAATAAGAAGGAACGATAGGGTAGAGTAGGAAAGAAGGATAGGATAGAATAGGAAGGATAGGATAGGATAGGAAGGAAAAGATATGAAGGAAAAATAGATAGATAGATAGAAGGAAGGATAAGATAGGAAGGAAGGGTGGAAGGATGGATGGATTTTTCAACATTTTCTTCACTTCTCTTGACTTTCTATCAGGATATCATAAGATCGATTTTTCTTGA